GGGACTGGTGCGCCCCTCCCATATGGGCTGGCCAAATTGGAGTAGAAAAGGGTAAGGAGGAAAGAAAAAAGGGAATAGGATTCCCCCTTCCCCATCTTCCCTTCCTACTCTGAATAGGAATAGGAAAGGGGGAGGCTGAATTGGGAGGACCCCAAGTAGGATTCCTCCTACTTGGGGTGCCCCCTTGGCTGCCTCTCCGCCCTTCCAACCTATATATATGAAGGGGGCACCGCTAGAACACACAACAAACATTGTTAGCCGTGTGCGACGCCCCCTCCATAGTTTACGCCTCCAGTCATATTCACGTAGTGTTTAGGTGAAGCCCTGCGCGGATCACTTCACCATCACTGTCACCACGCCGTCGTGCTGATGAAACTCTCCCTCGACACTTTGCTGGATCAAGAGTTCGAGGGACGTCATCAAGCTAAACGTGTGCAGAACTCGGAGGTGTCGTACGTTCGGTGCTTGATCGGTCAGAACGAGAAGAAGTTCGACTACATCAACTGTGTTGTCAAACGCTTCCGCTTTCGGTCTACGAGGGTACATGGACACACTCTCCCCCTCTCATTGCTATGCATCTCCTAGATAGATCTTGCGTGAGCGTAGGAATTTTTGAAATTGCTTGCTACGTCCCCCAACACCTTATCCTTGGATGTGATGTGTGCTCTTCTTGCTTGATTTTGTAGGCCCATTTGTTCTTCAAAATTTTCTTGCCCTTGGGTAACTTGACCAACTCAGAAGTATGATTCTTATGTAAGGAATCCATCTCTTTTTGCATAGCCTTTTTTCGCTCCTTCTTGTGCCCATACTCTGTTGCATATGCAAAGCACTCACGTTCTGAACCGTTACATGATAACACCATGTATTGATCTGAGGGATACCGGCTGGAAGGAATTCGACCCCTATTGGATCATCTGAGTGGATTAGCTGGTGGACTTTCTGGTGTCGGTGCTTCCTACTGATCTGGATCATCAACTTCAGCATCATACTCTTGCTACAGTTGGGGAGCATCTTCTTCACCTTCACAACAATGCATATCATCCAATACATCTTTTACATCTACTTCAACTTGTACTGGAGCTGGAGCTGCAGGAACTGGGTCAGAATCAATCATGTCTTGTTGCAGCTTAGGAGGAACCTACCGCTTTCTCTTAGCAATATCCTCAATTGTTTGGTCTTCTACAACACAACATGATGGCTTCTCACAACTTTCCTGGCTATAGGGCCAAACAGCTTATAGCCAAACTCATCACCTCCATAGTCAATAAAGATGCATTGTCGTGTCCTCGAATCAAGCTTTGACCTTTCATCTTGAGGAATATGAAGAAAGGCCTTGCACCCAAAAACATTCAGGTGGTCATATGAGACGTATTGGCATACCACACCATGTTAGGAACATCTCCCTACAAAGGATAACTTGGTGAGAGATTAATAATATAAACTATAGTCCTTAAAGCCTCACCCCAAAAGTGTTTACATAACTTTGCACTTGAAAACAAGCATCTAAATCTCTCAAAAATTGCCATGTCATCATGTCAGCAAGACCATTCAGATGTGGTGTCTTCGAGGGAGTAAATTGATGCCTAAACCCTTGCTGCTTGAAATATGCATCAAATGGCCTAATGTACTCTCCTTCATTATCAGTGTGAATGCACTTGATCTTCTTCTTAGTTTCTCTATCTACTAAGGCTTGAAATTGCTTGAATATGCCTAGTACTTGATCTTTAATCCTCAAAGTGTAGGCCCAAATTGTCCTGGAAAAGTCATCAATTAAAATCACAAAGTAGTTAGCACCACCATGAGATCTTACCAAAATTTTGCAAACATCGGAATGTATCAAGTCCAACATCTCAGGTTTCTTGTGAGGAGGTAGACTCTTGAAGGCAACACTGTATTGCTTCCCTACTAAACAATCTGACCATTTCTTGATGTGAACACCTTTCAAGAAAATATTCTTCACTAGCACTATCATCTCCTTCTCACTCATGTTCCCTAGTTTCTTGTGCCATAGAGCACAATGATCATATTTCTCTAGTGCATTGATAGTAGAACTAAATATCTTATCATGAACATGATACAAAATTGAGACCATCTTTTCTCTTGCAACAACCATGTTTCCTTTGGTGGGCTTGTAGAAAACTGCACAGGTAATCTTCTCCATCAAGCAAACCAATGGAGATAATATTGAGACGAGGTGCCTCAACATGCCTCACGGATTTGAGGACTAACTTTGTACCATTTGTGATATCCAAATGTACATGCCCTTTTCCAGTGATGGTTGTTGTATCCTTGTTTCCCATCTTCACAACACCAAAACCACCTGATGTATAGTTGGTGAAGATCTCTCTGTGAGACGTAGCATAAATGGTAGCACCGCTGTCCAGTATCCAAATCACCTTGTCACCATCCACAAGGTTGACGGTTTCATCAGAAATAATAGTAGTCTATCCTCAATAGTGGAACCAAATCTGCCCTCATTTTCTTCATGCATAAAAAGCATGATGTCCTCAATTAATGAAGTAACTCGGTTGCCCTCTATGTCACTATTACTGTTTGCTGGTTCTAGTCTTGCTTCTTCTTCTTCTTTTGTATTTCTTCCACTTGCCACATTGCCATTTAATGTGACCCTTCTGATGGCAGTGATGTTACTCATAATCAGCATACTTGCCTCTTGATTTGCTCCTACCTCTTTTTGTATCATTACCTGGACCTCTGCTCTTGCTTATCCCCCTGGACTGAGTGACCAACACATCTAAATGTGAAGAAGAATTAGCTTCAGCCACCTTTTTTGCCTCTTCCTTTAGTACCCTCATTTTTACAAGATTCCAAGTGACAAATCCATTTGGTGCTGAATTGCAAACCGTGGCATTAAAGGTATCCCAGTTGTCCGGTAATGAGCCTAGTAGTAGCAAGGCTCTCACTTCATCTTCAAATCTAATTCACATTGAAGAAAGTTGAATTATAATGCCTTGGAATGTATTCACATGATCTGCAATTAGAATGCCCTCTTTGCACCTCAAAGAAATCACTTTCTTGATCAAGAACATCTTGTTTGTACCTTCTTTTCGGGCAAATAATTCTTCCAATTTCTGCCATAATGTGCGTGCATGTGTCTCATCAATGATATGGTTTAAAATGATGTCATAGACCCATTGCTGAATAAACCCACAAGCTTGGCGATGAAGTACCTTCCACTAATCTTCATCAATGCCCTCCGACATCTCAGTGGAGAACACTAGCTTCCTTTATTCTTTGACATATAACAAGTCCTCCGTCTTGCCCTTCCATGCTTGATAATTTGTACCATTCAAAGATATCATACTACTGGTATTCACCTCCATCTTTCACCACAAGAATCTCATCAATTAGCACAAGCAAACCAAAGCTCTGATACCATGCTATTAGGGCTGGACAGCAACAATGCACTGCCCTAATTTAGCAACATGGCAAATATGCACACTAAACAACCCCCTCCACTTGTAGTGAATTTTGAGGATAGTTTCAACCAACAAGCAGCGGAATAACACAAACAACATGCACATGTGACACATGATTTAACATGGAAAGACCTCCTCAACTTGAGGAGTGAAAACCACGGCTGTGGACCGATCAGTCCACACAAATTCACTATGAGAATGGTGAATACAAAGTCCTCTCTAGAACTTCTAGAGATATTTACAACAGACTCTCCATGTTGCCAACCGGCAATAGCAATAACAACCAGAAGAGGCAAGATTTCAGCAAAGCAGAGTTGACACGGCTTCTATCCCCTTCAATGTTTTGCAAACTACTCTTAAACTTCTAAACCAAACAGCACCAGATTTGGCAAACAAGTAGACACACCAGTTTCTGACATCCTCTCGAAATTTCATCTCCATCGGACATTGTTTGCCTACCCAAACTGTTCATCTCCCAAAACTACTCCGTTCTGAAACTACAACAGTCTGAGCTGACAAAAACACTCTAAAATCCGATGCTCCGCTGACCCAATTCTCAAACTAGCTAACTAGATCAAACTAATCAAAGTAAGGAATAAGTTCACCAATTTTGGTGCCAATCCAAGCACGTTTAAACCTCCAATCACCAGCTTGAACACTATCAAGTTAGATGTAGAAAATCTGGGCAAAACCTCTACTTCTTCTTCTTCCTCTCTCTCATAGGTTGTGTTTCTCTCTTGTGTGTTTTCTCGCACTCTCACGAATGGCTGCCACCACCAACAGAGGTAGAGTGGCTACGGTTTTCTTCTCTACCCCCTTGACTAGGAAGCACTCACAATCGTTGGATCCAACGAAGATCAATGGCTGATGTGTGTTAGACTTATGGGCTGATGTTGGACTTCCAACACACCTCCATGTGGAGGGACTTAACCCAAAACTATTCACATCCCATTTCATTTGTAGACCTGTTGAGCTATTGTTAGGCTAAATCTTCTCAATTATTGGCCTGACTGGTTGGACATTTGTACCCGAAATCTGGTTCTGCTAAAAAAATCAAAACTCTGATAGTTCAGCTACAATGAGACCTATCTCACAAAAAAAACTACTACAAACTGCTAGTCCTGGCAACTTCTATATATAAAGCAGCAGATTTGCTAATTCTTGTCTAGATGAGAATTAACAATGTCCATCTAACTTGTACACCATTTGATTAATCAAAGAAAAAGGAAAGGAAAAAATCATCACGAATCTCTATGTAAAATCAAATGGCATAGGAGTTTGATGGTACTTAGTTATGTCTCATCTAGATAAGAGCTAGGCACACCCAGAAAGAAGAGAAAAATACAGAAAAAAGGAGATACATGTGATCCCATGAGCACTCTCATGGGCCACACATTTTCTTTGCTTTAAAGAAACAAAACATTTTCCTTCATTCGAACCCAAGGATAACGTCGCGGTGAACCTGGAACTTTATCAGACATACGAACAAAGGTAATTCAAACCATGCGAAGAATAAGTTCATAATTATCACCATCCAACCACCTAAATATATCATGATATCTTCTAGCACTCCTTCGTGCACATGCAGCTCCTCTTCAAGCCGGAGCACTTGCCGCCGGTGAACCCCTCCGCACCGCACACACCGGCGCAGTTTGCGGACACGAAGCACAGCCCGTTGAACCGCTCGCTCTCTGTCTCACACTCTCGTGCCTGCGCTGGCACCACCTCTGAAAGCAAACATGAATAAGCGCACATGGTTAGTTTTTTGAACACTAATCAACAATAATAAACCAACCCAAGAATTGGAGGACACTAATATCATATGCATATTTACATGGTTTTGCTCTAGCAACAGGAGCGAAACGGTACTTACCAGTGGCGACGAGGAGCAGGAGGAGGATGGCAATGGCCTGGAAAAGCTTGTGTGATGACTCCATTCTTCCTTATTTGTATCTCCCAAATCGCGCCCTGTAAAATGTACACTTATCTGGGATTGTAAAACTCTGAATGACAAGTTAGGGTCGATGCTTGTGACATGCTTATATACGCGCGCAGCCGCAATCACATATACACGGTGATGCATAATTCAGCACCACAGGAACATCTCGGATCAATATATGGAACATACTAATAACAGGCTTGTATGTGCACGACCGCACAACGCTGATGACATGCAAGCAAATGCATAATTCAGCACCACATGAGCATCTCACACCTATATGTGCAACTACCTAATAATAGCTGTGCACCAGGAGCAGCCACAACCCCCTGCTATCACCACATGTTATCATCATGAAACTACAATTTTTAGGCTAACAGACTACTAATAATGGGCCTGATTGCTAGGTTGAATTTTTTTTGTGGGCGTCTAATTTGTGGTTGGTCGTGCAGGGGAGGGTCATGGACAGTTTGTGTACCCCACTCTCCATCTTGGAAAATATGTACATTTCTGTAAGAGAAAAGTATGTTTTTAGTACCTCAAGTTCCTAAAAAGTACAGACTTGTTCCCTCAAGATTTTTTGGTATACATTTGGTCCCTCAAGTCTCAAAACCGGACAAATTTAGTCCAAATCCAGATTTTGACCGGGTTTGACGGGTTTGACCACGCAGACTTTGACCAGCTTTGACCGACGAACAGTAAATTCGTAAAAAAAGTCAAACATTTCAAAAAAATCTGAATTTTTTGACATGCAACATGCTTACATGCGCAAGGTGCGTGGCAAATTTCCACGTCTTTCGACACTTGAGGCGCCCGTGGCAAAAAAAAACATAAATCTACTCTTCAAGTCTTGATAAACAGTAAAATAAAAAAAACAGAATTTTGTGGGGTTCAATATACTGGTGTGCACAAGGCCCGTGCAAAATTTTGGCATCTTTCGACATTCGAGAAGCTCGTGGCAAAAAAACAAATTTTGGCTTTTTTTTGTGAACGAAAATTTGTTTTTTCTGCCACGAGCTCCTCGAATGTCAAAAGATGCTAAAATTTTGCACGGGCCTTGTGCACACCAATATATTGAACCCCACAAATTTTTAATTTTTTTTATTTTTTTTGTTATTTTTCTATTTTACTGTTCACTGGGAGTAGTTTTTTGTTTTTTTCCCACGTGTACCTCGTCTGTCGAAAGACCCAGAAATTTGGCACGCACCTTGAGCATGTGAGCATGTTGCATGACAAAAAATTTCAAATTTTTTTGAACTGTTTTTCATTTTTTTTTACGAATTTACTGTTCATCGGTCAAACCCGGTCAATGTCTGTGCTGTCAAACCCAGTCAAAATCTGGTTTTGGAGTAAATTTATCCGGTTTTGAGACTTGAGGGATCAAATGTATACCAAAAAATCTTGAGGGACCAAGTATATACTTTTTAGGAACTTGAGGGACTAAAAACATACTTTTCTCTTTCTGTAATATACATGTACGGATAATAGAGACCAACTTTAACCTTAAAATTCAGATATTACTGATAAAAACAAGCTTGAGACACTATATAGATTTGTCTACTAGTACTGGAAAGTAGTTCTACTTGAAGAACGACAAGGAATCACATGGAAGATATAATTATAAATAGTGGGCATTACCATGGACCGTGGGCATGTTTATTCTGCAGTGTATAGTACAATACCATGTACAATAATTAGTACAGCAATAAGTAGCTTCATAATCCAACATACCATCCAAGTCTTACAATATATCAGTTCCATATTATATTACACACACATATATAACAGAGAACCCACATCTTAGTGTAGAAATTGCCAACTTGATAATTTGTTCATCCATGGATATATATCAGATTGGTGCCCATGGTCGTTTGTCTTAGTTCATCATTATGGTTTCTTGACCTGGTGGGTGTGGATGATGATACCACGGAACTGATCCCATGAGACGTCGCGGTGGGACTCCGTGGCAGCAGTAGTTTTAGCATTTGATATTTCAGCGTTATTGCTTGCACCTCCTGCATCGGTCGCGCCGGAAACCTGCCCGCCAAGCGATGGATCCATTCCAGTAAAGGATACTTTCTGCTCTGCTTTCAGCTCTTTGCGAGAGAATGCCACTTGGTTCTGGTATGCACCACCCTCCAGGACATTGTAGGAGAACATAATTACAAAGACAAGTAGTAGGAGAACGGTATGTCTCTTCACCATTTTCTTCGCTGAATGAATTGACACAGATTTTATATAAATATAATATATGTACATGTAATGAAGCTAGAATTCAATGAGAATTTTAAATTTTGTAAGTGATACTAGGTATGCTACAATACTAGATAGGGTAGAAGGAGAAAATAAAAGGGATTTTAAACCTTCATGATCAGATTATACGTGTGCACATAGTGGTGTAAGAGATTACATATATATACAACAAAGAGATTAACAGGAGTGCAGGCGGATGAACTGCTTAGTTGTTGTGAAATAATTCTCAATTTGGATAACTGATACAACATAGATGTTTATTAGAGTAATCTGAGGCACATAGTTGATCTACTGAGAACCAAGCAAAGACACCAAGATTTGTTAATGAGGACCACCGAGCTCGGCTACATTCGTGGGGCATGACTTCGGGCGCTCCTCCCCGTGACACCGCTAAAATATTGCAAACTGACCACCTATGCGCATGTGCTATTATATTGGCATATGTTACATTGTGTGTCTACCCTCACATTGTATAACAGGTCTAGGATATAAGTGTCCTATTTGAACAAGACTCCATGCCCTGCCTACATATAGTACAACTCCATCACCAACTGTAACATACCTTGTACAAAATATTTGGGACAACTCTAATAAGATTTTCAAAATTATTTTTTAAAATATTTTGTTCTGATCTAACACCTAGCGGAGAAAACTTAGACATATTTTCGAGGGCAGTAACAAGTGAAATCGATCTCACAAAGGATCCGATAAGATCTAACAAAAGAAATTTGGGGCATGTTGGTTAGCAATATGGATCACACACGACAAATTGCTGTGCTCCATATTACTCCAAAACGGTATATCAAGCATTTTTAACCTGTGACAACTATTTGACATAAGGTGCTGGTGGGAATATTGTTAATAAATGCTATTTATTCAAAATCCCATGTGGTGACATACAATTGAGTACTCCCCCGTTCACAAATATAAGATGTTTTTGATATTTCTATATGGACTATATACAAACTGAAATGCAAACACATTGATACGTGTCTATTTACATCCGATCCAAAAAAAAGTTATAACATCTTATATTTTTTAAAGGAAGAAGTAGAATACATTGTCAGTTTCAAACATATTACCCTGCCATTGATTTACAAGTTGTTGATGCGCACAATTTTATGCAAAGTTATAAATACTTCTCTAAGAGTTTTGGTGTGCACACGTGTATTACTTTGTTTCTAACCGGCAACATAATTATGTTTGTCTCACTGAATGGTTTTGACAATCAGAAGAATCTATATATTTGTAAATAGAATGTCTCATATCCTGACATACTGATAATGAATTATAAGGGATTGGTACACCACTTTATAGAGAACATGCATTTATATGGAATATGGGGAAAATATCATACAAACTTACATGGTTCAAGCATCTCCCTGATGGCAAGTATGTAATGCTCAAAACAACTAACGTGCCTATATATAGGGGAAATACTCAATGATATAACTTAAAAATAAAGATAAACATCTCTCATATTCGATAGTGGATGTCGAGCATGTGCAACTTTTACATGACTAATAATCATAAACACAAGTTGTGTCATTTCCAACATGTCCGACTGAAGCTGAAGTGGAAAGCATAATTTGTGGCCAATATAACAACAAAGTGATCCAATGGTGCTCTTACCGAAGAACCACTTTGGTTTGTCGGGGTTATCCCAAGATAGTTTATATTCCTTGTATGGTTTTACATTTCCCCGCACACATCTATATTTGAAAAGTAAATTGCATTTTACTATAACCCATATATGTTTGGTTAACTAAGTCTATCCAAAGGGATGGGGAAATGATCATCATGTTTTTGGCACACCTATATGCACTTATTTTGCATCACTCAAAAGGTAAAGGTTTTGTTGTTGTATTGAACAACTTTCAACTAAAAGTAGTTTCATTCTACAGCACTAGATATCATAGATATCATGATTTTTCTAACATAGTCCAGGTTCTTGTAATATATCGTCCTCAGTCATAGATCTTCACACCATTGTACACTATGATCTCTAAATTTAATGTTTCCTACAACCCACAAACCAAAACATAATTTAACACCAACACTAGATTATATCATATATGGAAATTTTGTACTAGATTATCATTCTAATTACTTGTGCATGCAAATTCAACCTACCAATCTCTAAAAAGAAAATACATAATCTCTCTCTCTCTCTCTCTCTCTCTCTCTCTCTCTCTCTCCCTCTCTCTCTCTCTCTCTGTTGCATCCAGTGACAAAGAGTATTACTCCCTCCTTTTTAGTTTATTAGGCTCGTCTAAATAACATAATTTCAGTTTGTAAGGGCCAATGCTATGGGAATAGGCTCCTTTTTTCTCCCAAAATGGAAGCATAATATTCGCCGCATCAATTAATTAGGCGGAAGAGAATTGACCAGTTAATTTAAGGAGAAGCGGGTGAAAACCGATTCCCCTTGCTTTTTTACTCTTCTTGTGGAACCAACAAATGCATGAAGGCGAGAGGGCAATGCATGCTCCACAATTATGTGGTCCAGCGATTAACTAGGCCCTCCTTGGTTAAATTAATTTTTTATATATGAATAACAAACCGAAAAGGAGGGAGTATAAATGTATTGAATGTTTACCATATACATACCCTAAAAATCTACCTGCTGCTGGCTAGCAGATCTGTCTTAGGAAACTTTCATTATGGCAGTCCCAGTGCTCCACCTTGTAATATATCTTAGTTATGACACCTAATTCAAATCCTAATGTGTCACCCTATTTGATGAAGAAAAAATAGAGTTATCGTATCGTAATCAAGATATAGTTGTTAGCACCAAAATGAAGATAACTCCATCACAAAACACATTATATGAGAGCCATTTTAGATACAACAATAATATACAATGCATTGGAGGGGTTATATCTAAGTGCATATCACATGAATATGATATAGTCTAGGACATAATGCATAGAGAGTGGCCCATATATAGTTAGATAAATTGCCATACGCAATTATTACCTCTATCTGGGTTTATTAGGCCCCATTGTATTTTGGTCTAACTTTGACCATGTATTTGAAATATATATATATATATATATATATATATATATATATATATATATATATATATATATATAAAGTATATCATATAAAAAGTGTATTGTAGGATTTGCAATTGAAACCGATTTTCTATGGTATAATTTTTGTGACATATAATTTACGCTTTATTAGTTGAATTCATGGTCAAACTTTGGTCAAAATAAAAGAGGGCCTAATAAACCGGGACAAAGGGAGTAATTACAAACCGTATGGGGCGATGTATTGCATCAGATAGTTCAAAAATAAATAAATATATGTGATATATTTGATAAACCGTCTTTATATTTAGTAAATCTAGTTCAATGTATGGAAGAGAAAGGTGTGATAGCTCCCATGTGTCCCTATACTCTCTATGAACAGTAAATTCAAATAAATAAATAAATAAACTTAAACTTTGCAACATCAAATATGCTCAAATGTATTAGGTGCTTGCAAATTTTGATAATGAAATATCATGTAGACAAAGGTGTACATATATCAATGCTAAAAGTGCTCAAAAGTTTGAGCATTGAAATCTTTTTTCTTGTGTAGAGCTCCTTGAATTTATTTTTCTTCATGAAAACTTGCAAGGACCTTCAAAGTTTGAGCATATTTGACGTCGCAAAGTTTCATATTCTTTTGATTTTGTTTTCTATTTTTTTGAATTAAGTTTCATAGAGTGTAGGGACAAGCGGAGTTGAAAAACTAATCTTATATATGGAATCGTTGATCATCACAGCTGGATCATGATACAAAGACAATACATTTTTCAAAGCCGTATCTGATGGCGATTCATTATCAGGGAGTGGTTCACTGTACATGTAGTCTAAGATGACTGCTTTGTATTAAAATATTACTTGCTCCGATCCAAAATAAATGTCGTAATTTTGAACTAAGGTTAGTTCACCTTACTTCAAAACTGCGACACTTATTATGGATCTGAGGTAGTAGTTTTAAAGGTGGATAAAAATCATTTTCCTTGCTACTGCTTTGTTCATCTTGTTGAAGTGCATGTACTACCAGGCTCAGCTCACCTATCATGAGGGTAGGAAACAACACCAACTATGCTTGTCAGCATGTCAAGTTCCCTTTCCTGCCTGGTTTGGACTAAGTACACACATCCCTAGCTAGCTCTATATCAGGATAGCTGGCCACTAATTAATTCCCACCGTAGCTAGAAAAACCATACCCGATGAGACAAAATCATGACTGATTAACCATAAAAATCATATATTATTGTCAGAAAAGGCTTCAGCTACTATATATATTAATTTGTCTAATAGTTTTTGAAGTTGGTTTACTTGTAGCATGACAAAGAATCGCATGGAACATATAAATAGTTGCCATTACCATGGACCATGAGCTTGATTTATTCTGCATTTTAGTACACTACTACCTTGTACAATATTAGTAGAGCAGTAAATAGCTTGACACTCCAACACACCATCCAGGTCTGACAAGCAGTTACATTACACACATAACAAAGAACTACATCTTAGTGTAGAAATCATCAAGTTGATAATTAATTCATCCATGGATATCTAGTTTCTGCCCATGGTCCTCTTTCTTAGTTCATCATTATGGCCTGTTATAAGGTGGTGGTTTGTGGTTAATCCCACGAAAATCTTTCACAGAGACATCATGATGGGAATCTGCGGTAGTTATAGTTTCAACATTTGCTATTTCAGCATTATTGCTCACACCTCCTGCATTCCTTGCACCAAGAACCTGCCCACCAAGCGATGGAATCATCCTACTAAAGGATGCTTTTTGTTCTGTATTCATCACTTTGCGAGAGAATGCAACTTGGCTCTGGTGTGCAACGCCCTCCAAGACACTGTATGATAACACAATTGCAAGGACAAGTAGTAGCACAATAGTGCTTCTCTTCGCCATTTCCCCGCTGGATGAGTTGACACATTTTTGTCAAAATTGTCTGATATGTGCATGCAATTAAGCTAGAAAACATGGTAGTAATTTCGTGAATATGAGATATATAGGTATATGTGACAAGAATATTGACAACAGAAAATCAAACGGAAAGGTTGAAGATCACAAGCATTTATAGACTTTAAGATGAGATTATATGTATCTATAGAGGTGTAAGATACTATAACTAAGAATTTACTAAGAGTGTAAATGAATGAATTTCTTATTTGTTGGTTAGTCATGCATTAATTTGGAGATTATATAGATATAATGAAGTGGTTTTCAAAATTATCTCCTGGAAGATTTGTTTCTGCATTCTAGAACTCTAAGGGACTAAAGATCCTATATGATCGAACAAGATAAATTTCAGGCATCTTTATTGGCATTAAATTGTGCAAGTTTCTAGTAGTTTCTCGTCTATTAGTCAGAAGCAATAGATCAAACATTTTGAATACAATGATAAATATTGAACCTAAGGTGCTTGTGGAGATATTATTAATTGATTCTATTTATTAGAAGGCCATGTGCTGACACACAATTAAAACACATGGTCAATTTTCAAAGATATTACTCTGGCCATTGGTCATAGTTATAAGCAAAAATATCTCTCACAACTACTTATTTTTGCGAACACACATGTATTAGTTTGTTTTTAATCTGACAATGCACTTTTTTCTCATTGGGAATCACAAGATTCCAATGTTGGAACTTACTAAAAATGAATTCTAATTTATTATATCACACAAATACTATAAAGCACACATAATAAATCAAATATGGAAAAATATTATGACAACTTACATGTTTCAAGGAACTCCCTGCTGGCAAGTATGTAACACTCGGTGCAGTTAACATACCTATATATAGGAGGAAGGCTCAAGGTAGAAATTGACAACAAAATATAACCATCTCTTCTATAGGATAATGGATGTCCGGCCTGCGCAACTTTTACATGAATCGTAATCATAGACAAGAATCAAATTATTTTTGACATTTCAGCGGAAGATGAAGTAGAACGCATAACTTGTAACCGATATAACAAGAAAGGCGTACAATTGCGCTCTTACGGAACAACCACCTCAGTTTGTCGGGATTATCCGAAGATATTGTTTATTCCTTGTATATCTCTTCATTTTCCTGCACATAGTTATATGTGAAAATTAGATTGCTTTTTACTCTTAAACCATATATGGTTGGTTAATTAAGTCTATTTTCCAAAAGGATTGGCAACTGGTCATGATGGTTGTAGCACACCTAGATATACTTATTCGTCGTTACTCAAAAAGCGAAAGCATTTCTTGTTGTCTTGAAGACCTTTCAGAAGATAAGTAGTCTCATTGTACACCACTGTCTAGTTTCTGGGAATATATTACCATCGGTCACAGATCTTTACTTTCCCCTTATGAAGTATAGCATATATAACATCATGATCCCTAAATTTAACAATTTGTACATCCCGTAAAGTTACTTGAACACTACTTGTGCATGTAAATTCAATCTTCTAATCTATGAAAGGAAAAAATCCAACCTTTAACATATGCACATATTATGTGGCGTCCGGTAATGAAGAATAAAGTGTAGCTAGCTTAGAGTGATAAATGCTTACCCTAAAACCCTACTCGAGGCGAACTATCAGATCTATCTCTTGAACCTCCATTATATATCCAGAGAAATTACCATAGGCGGTTCATTTATGAACTGTATGCGGTCATATACTGCCTCAGACAGTTCGGCACACACACACACACACACACACACACACACACACACACACACACACACACACACACACACATTGATAGGACGTCTTTAATTTTTAGTACACCTGGTTTAGTTTACGGAGATCATCACAGGTAGTTCATGATGCAATGATGACACAATTGGCACAGTCGTCTCTGATGGCGATTACCAGTGAGGGGTACACCGAATATATACATGGTCTAAGATGAGCGATCCAGGATGGTTTCTCTCTATTAGTGGTGTTAGCTATGCAGAGGTAGGCCGGATGATTTTCCTAGCTACGTGCCGCTTTGTTTATCTTGTTGAAGGACTACCAGGCTGAGTGTCACCAACCATGAAGGTAGCAAACAACATCAACAATTCTTGTCAGCTTGTGAAGTGTCCGAATTGATTTGGATGAAGGCACGCGCATCACTAATTCTCGCTAGCCACTAAGTGCTGCCAGCTAGAAAGGTCATATAGCTGATGAGACAGAATCATCTCTCCAATAACGCTATCCCCAGCCTATAACATTTCTTTCAGTCCAGCAATTGCCGTTATGCTTCATAGCCAGGTAGACCTTATCATTCAGTATATATTGGTTGGCACTTAGTGCTCATGTTTTCCAGCGAACACTATCTTATATTGCAAGAAATATGTTGGTGTGCATGTGACTTTCACAAACATACATAGCCCATTTCTATGCGGCTAGCAAAAAGTAATTATTTCTTATGGGAAATATTCCTCCTGAAGAAAGATCAGCCGTTGCCTCTAGTCCATCTAGTCCAGTCCACTAGTCTGATATCATGATTCGCTAGCATATCTAGAACGATCATGATCCCTCCATGAACATAATTAATATGCCTTGCAATGTACTTTGCTTACAAAGCATCTTCTGTTGGTACTGCTCACGGTTTTGTAGGAAAGCTATCAGTGTATTACTTGATAAATACCATCATTGGTTCGAAAAACTGTACAAAATAGTGTGGAGACCCTCAGGTTGCGATGATATTTTTTTATTTTTTTGCAAATAGGTTGCGATCGATATCAATAGAAAAGCAGGTGTATAGATAACTTTGATTCAAAAGCACAGTGGATATACTCTTATGCCAGTCTCCTTTTTTTTGAGAAAACTGCCGATGTATTCGTCATGCCATGGCAGTACAAAGAATAAAGAAATTATAGAAATTACATCCATGTCCGTAGACCACCTACCGACGACTACAAGTACTAGAGTGAGCCGTAGGCGCGCCGCCGTCATCGCCCGTCCCTCGCCGTAGTGACCAAAGTTGTTGTAGTAGACAACGGGAAGTCGTCATGCTAAGATCCCATAGAACCATCGCACAAAAATACTAACCATCATCGATGAAGAGAAGTATAGATCAAAAGGATCCAACCTATAGACACACAAACGAAGAATTCACCCGATTAATCAGTTAACATGCAAGTTAATTGCTACTCATAGCATGACCTAATTGAATAACACCTATTTGTCGCCTTAACTTGTTAGGCCGATTAATTGGCCAGTTAAACCGATTAATCAGTTTTCATGCCAATTAATCCCTGCTGGCCCATTAACGGGTGGGCAAACAAAGCCTAAATTTTTGGCCCATAACCCCTTCCGGCCCCATGACGCTCCTTAATAGATAGGACTAATAATTTTACCTCCTCTCTATACTTTTCGTATGTGTATGGCAGCATATTTTGGTATACTACATAGCTGGGAGCATGAGAGTATGGTATAATACATTAAAAAATCTAGATATATGTTGGCAAGTTTCTATTCAATCTACTGATTAATGGTCGACCAATTAATCCAGTTAATAGGCCGATTCACCGATTAATCGCTACTCCTAAACTGACCGAGCAGCTACCAGTTAACGATTTCTTAAACATTGACGAAGACAGAAACACTGGACTAAGCAGATTCATCGAAGACCCGTACCGACCTCCCGCGAGATCCGCCGGAGACACACCTTCACACGCCCTCCGACGATGCTAGACGCATCATCAGAGTAGGGGCTAGGTGGAGAGAATCTTATTCCATCTTCAGGGAGCCACAACCGGCTCGTCCTTATGGCTTTAAAATGTTCGTGGGTCAATTTTTTAATTATATCATCTCATTGCAAAATTTATCACATAGTCAAATCCATTTTATATCATGCGAATCATTTTAATTGGTTCTTTAAATTTAATGAAGTTTTTAAAATGTGTTCTTTTTATGAGAAATTTCAAGAAATGTATCTACTTTAATGGCCCACACTAACTACGGTCCATTTAAGGTTTACATGCGAGTTGACCAATAAGTGGCTATAGTAGGTGCGAGATGCGGAATCCTATTTCACGCGTAAAGCCGGGGTAACAAGCAAATACATACCCCCGGCACGGTAGTGCGCTGCCTCAATGGTTGTTTGATCTTGATTTTCTTTTCTTTGCTCCCCATGTTCATTTTTGTCCATTTCTCATTACTTTCCTTTTTTTCATTTCACATATATTTCCTATTTTAGTTTTTCTCTTTTTTGTTAGGCGGGTTGTTTTTCTTTTCTTTTTTTTGTGTGGTATTGTTTCATATACTTCTTTCCTGCCAAAAAAGTATTGTTTCCTATATTTAACAAATAAATGATATCTATATAAAAATTATGAACATTTTTATAAACTTATGAACGTTTTTAAATCTATGGACTCTTTTAATTTATTATTTTTAAAATTCTATTGCCATTTTAATATAATCTATGAGCATTCAATAAATTTTTGAAAAAAATTAAATTTTGTGAAAAAAATAAATCAATGTTTTTGAATAAAAAGTGTGAACAATTTTTAAAATTCAGGAATATTTTTTAAAGTCCTGAACATTTTATGAAATCATGAGCATTTCTTAAGCTTCTAACATTTCCTTAAACTCATAAGTAGTTTTTAAATTCATGGAATGTTTTTAAATTAGTGACCATTTGAAAGTTTCTGAGTATTTTTAAAAATGTATGATATTTCTAAAATTGATGACTATTTTCCTAAAATTCTTGAAACATTTTCAAATGTCTGAAAAACATCTTTTATTCTTGAGAGAATTTTAATAAATTTATGAAATGTTTTTTAATCTTTCAAATAGGGAAAAAATCATCTTTTTAATTATTTCTAGAAAAATTGAAAAACCAGCTCGAAAGCCGAGTATGGCGTGCTTCGTGCACTGTAATGTTCCGGTACATGGCCTACCAAAGAAAACCCCCCGAGAGATGGGCCCAGCCCATGTACAGCCCTAGTTAGCTTATTCCGAGGAAAACTGGTGATTGCGTTGGTGTTGCGCGTTTGCTAGCTATCCAACGCATAAAAGTCTCGTGTGACATGGGGACACCCATCAAAGTACAAAAAGGGTACCTAAAAAAATCAAAGTGCACAAATTTGCATCATCTTTGGCCTAAATTGTCTCTTGTTAATTTTAGTTGAAATTACCAAACTGTTATGGCGTATAAAGACGAGTTCAAAGTCCTTTCAAAAGGCGCTAAATTGAACGCTACAACCAAATTCATTTTTCTATGCGCAAAATAACTAAATATGTGTATATACATATACATATATTCACTTTCTCTTTTTGTGGAAAAAACTACCAGAATATGAGTTGGCATCAAATCCAATTATAACGAATCAAACTCAATTCTCTGACCCAGCATTTGGAAGGCCGAATGGGTAAATGGGCCAGTATGACAGCGAGACTGACACTGCCCCAACAAAAAAAACGCTTCTTCGGCCCCTCTGTTCCAGCGGCCGCCCATGTCCATCCGTCCTTCGCCGTCGCCGCCGGTGGTCTCCGGTGGCGGCGGGGGACGCCGGCCTCTTAGATCGCCACTCTCATCCAGGTGAGTGTCCCACCTACATCGCCGGTCCCCAGACCTCTCTTCCTGTAACCCAATGATGAAATGCCGTTGCTTACTCTGCGGTTGCCACCGATTTATCCTCGCTAGCTGAACTTCAGCATATGACCCGCCCTTGTTCCCTGCGATTAACTCAACTCGTCTTTTCTCGGTACTGATTGTTGTTCTCGTTGTGGTTTACTCCTTCGTAGCTGCCCCTGCGTTTTCCTCAACTGGTGCGGATCTGGATGTCAGGAATCCGGTAGTCTAGTCTGGGGATTCGTGATTGGAGCCATGGAATTTCTATCATCTGTAGCAGTGGGACTAGTGTCTAGTGTGGTTACTGCTACCACAGCTTCTTATTCAGCTGAATTTTATTTTCTTTATAGAATCATCAATCATGTTCAGTTTTGTGTGAGATAATTGTAAACAGAGCCAAGGGTTATATCAGAGTTATGTCGTGACTGCGTAGCTGTAGGCTAGTAGCCATGCCAATTACAGATTGGCTGAATGAATTCATGAACATTGGTTTGAGCTGTGGCAAGATACTTGTGTCATTCTTTCTGGGTGGGATGAATAAATGTGCCATGTCAAATCATCAGATTATAGATACTTGTGTCATTCTTTCTGGGTGGGATGAATAAATGTGCCATGTCAAATCATCAGATTATGGTCAATGTTGAGGTAGATAAATTTTAAAAAAGACCATCACATAAGAAATTAGCTACTCAGAATAGTCAAATGCTCTAATATTTGAGAGAGTGCACACACGAGTGGTTCACCATTAGATGAGTGAGTACGGGCACAATTAGGCAGATGGCATGCCAAATTTAATGTTGATCATCTAATTTGATCTTTTGATAATGAACTAAGTAGTTATCTGTCTATCGTCATATCCTTAATTTTCCCAAGAATAGAAGCTTTTATCTGTTGGCTGATGACTAGAAAAGCCAGCACTTTGTTGAAGTTGGGCACTTTTTTTTCTCTGGCTCCATCCTTTTATGAGTTCATATATGGTGATCTATGTAATCCTCGGCAAACTAATTGAAGGTTTATGTATTTTTGTTACTACTTACTACTTACATTTATTATGATATCAACTTACAAAGTGTGCAAGTAATTAGGAGGCTGAGGTATTGTAAATTGGGGTATCCACTTACGGATTATGACCCTGTAGAATTACAAGATTATCTCCTTTTTTAACCAGAATACACATAAGTCATGTGTATCATTTCATTCAGAGGGATATGAGGGTAAATAAAGCCTTTTGACACTACAAAAGACAGCAGGCTAACAAAAGAACCCAATGCCCAACCAAAACATAAAAGCTATCTCTCCCTGGAACAACCGATCTACCGCGCATCCTAACTTTACTCACTTTGATTCTGTCCAATAGAGGCTGCAATGAAGTTTGCCACCAATGATGACATAATTGTTAGAGTGGGTACATATTGTCCAGAGAGTGAGAAGAAATACAATTGTGATTCCCTTGAATTTGCTAGCCTGTGCAGCAAACCCAATGGAAGACACGGCAACAATTCTGTGAGACTAGTGAACTGAAGAGCTTACAGCTTTTGTTCTCCAATCAACCACCAACATGTTGCACCGGTATAACCAATACCCTGGACTTCATACTGAATACTCTCCATTTCTTCTGCATTTCCAAATGAACTTCTCAGTGTCGATGAATATTATGTGTTGGCATTCGACTGGTCACAAAGTTGTGGGTCTTGCTGAATGACCTGAACGTCGAGAGATCCCAAGACATCAGCATTCCTTGCATTCTTGCTCAGAGCCTTCTGAACAGTGTGCTTGTTCTTGATGCTTGTTGACGCAAGAGAGAATAGTATTGGCAAAGGCTGCTCATTCCAGCCCTTGTTCAACCATCTATTATTCCAGAACAGGAACTTCTCGCCACTTCTACTTCCTAGCTGCAAAGAAAGCAAACGATTGAAGAAATCATGAATCTCCTATTTAACATTGATCTTCCAGAACAGCACTCCATACATCTTATAGATAGGTACAAGATTGATTAACATATAGATGTTTCTTCAATCTCTATTTGATAAGAAAGAAAGAAAATATTTTGTCATGCTTACAGGTTTTCTATTCTGATGATGTACTTGCTATTTTCCTTGCATTTAAAGGTTCCTTCACAATGACCATTGTGTTGTTACTTGTGTTGATCTCAGAGGAGAGCTGACCAAATGTTTTGCGGCATCTTATGACAGTGAGTTTCTTCAGGGAAAGAGGCAAACCCATCAGGGGAAGCAACTCAAGTTTTGGACATTGCTCTATGTACAGAGACTCAAGAGATGTAAGATGAATCATGTTGGATGGCAGTGATGTCAATTCTAGGCAGCCAGTGAAGCGAAGTTCCTTCACTGAAGTGAGTTGTTGCAGCCATTCCTCATGAGCCTTGTCAAGAGCCTCCAGGTAGTCGCATGAGATATCCAGCACATGAACGGTCGCTAGGCTGCTTGTTTGAAGAGATCTAATGAGAAATTCCAAGCAGTCCAGGGAAAGGTGAACACTGAAGAATGTGTTGACATCAGCTGTATCTTCAGGTTCACAACTGGTTATATTCTTAGAGGTCAAATCAGATACTGAAATTTTGATTTTGTTGACTGATGGTGGGAACGGCAATGGCCCCATTAACTCATTACATTTCTTGATACGGATGTCACGCAGGCGAGAAAATGCATGCTGGTTGTTCTCAACGCCTGACCATCCTTTCCACTGAGTCATGCCTTCAAACAGAAGCTCTTCTAGTGATGGAAATGCCTCTGCAGTGTTGCCATAGAATCCAGAATCAATATTTTCCAGTTTCTTCAAATGCATTATCTTTAATATCCTCAGGAAGGGTAAGCTCCCAAAAGGTGGAAGGGTCTCCCATTTATGGCAGGAGAGCAGTTCAATGTAGTGAATATTGGATAAGTATTCAGAGGATAGCCAAGCAGGAGACTAGATTCCCGTGTAATGTTTCACACAAAGCTCTCTCAAGTTGCGATTTGGTTGTAATCCTTCAAATACGCCCTCACGATCACTGTTGGTGATGCCCTGTTTGAGATGATTCCACCAGAGTGTAAGCTTGTTCAGGTTCTTCTCAAATAATTTTGCCTCATTTGCTTCTTTCCTGCATCACATTCTGAAGATTTGTTATGATTAGCTTCCCTCGAAGTTCATTCAACTCTCCCAGTTGGCATATGCTTCTTCCCTGCGTTATATTACTCTTCACTTTGTACTCCTCTAATTCCTCAAGGGATGTTAGCCTGCCAATCCATTCTATGCCAGAAATTATTTCCTTTGGCCCCTTTAAGTATCTTAACTGGGTCAGCCTGCTTAAGCCCTCTTGAAGTTCTCTCTTCATGGTTTTTTCTTGGTGAACTTGCACATTCAAGCCATGTAAATTGTAGAGTTTGAATAATGACTCGGGAACGTTGATAAAGCTCCTACTTTCATGGATGTTTAGGTACCTAAGGTGGACCAAATGCCCGATATTGTCTGGGAAAATACCATCAGGATTGTGCAGTATTAAGACCCTTAAGCTTCTTAGCTCTTGGAGTGTCTGATCAAGAACATGGTTGAAGTTTGACGAGGCGATCCTTTTGCTGGAAGAACCTTCTTGTGCATTGCTTATTATTAAGCTTCTCAGATTTCTTTTTGATTCTTTGAATTCTTCCAAACTCATGTACAAGATATTGCTTGCAGTGACATATAGGTGACGAACATTTCTCGGAATACATACATTTCTTGAATTCTTCTCAAAGTCATCGTCTATTCGGAAGTGTTCTCCATTGGAGATTGACTCTGCAAAATCATGTAGCAAGTTGTGAACTACATGGTGGTCCTCTTGGTTGGGTACCTTCTCAATGAATGAAAGCTGCAAGAGATCATTGATATATTGATGTGCAGTTTCATCTGGTGTTTGCGTGTCAAGGAAACCATGAGCTCTCCACATCTGTATTAGCTCATCTCCTCGAAGGTGGTATTTCTTAGGAAACAGTGCAAAGTAAAGAAAACATTGCTTCAAATGGTCAGGAAGATGCTCATAACTCAGTCGCAATACTGGTATAATATCATCTTCCTTTTGCTCTATTTGCCACAATTTCCTTCCACAGATAGCCTCCCAATGTTTTTCTTCTAGCTTCGGTTTCAATGAACCTCCAACTGTCTTTGCTGCTAAAGGTGATCCCGACAACTTGCTCATCACCTCTCGGCCAATTTTTTCCAGTTGTGGAAAATCAGAAGGATTTGCATCACCGAATGCACCCTGTGAAAAGAAACCCCAGTAGTCTTCATCTTCTAAGCCTTGTAAGTGCATGATCTCTGTTGATTCATTCATGCTTGCAACATTTTTACTTCGAGTTGTAACTATTACTTTGCTTCCCTTACCAGCAAACCGCAGGGGTTTGCATAGGTTCTCCCATTGGCTGCTCAATTCATTCCATACATCATCAAGGACTATCAAAATCCTGTTCCCATTCAGCTTTTCTTGAAGTATCCGTTGAGCTTGATCTAAACTACTGCTTTTCAAGTCAGCAGATATGGTGAGATTATCCGACTGTACCATTTCTTTCGTTAGACATCCGACATCAAACTTTTCTGAGACATGGAGCCATATCGTGAGACTGAAGTCACTTTTAGCACGGAGGTGGCTATAAATTTTCTGCACTAATGCAGTCTTACCAACATCACCAATGCCAACAACTGATATAACATCATATGGCTGACTGGATTCTTCATTTATCTGCGTAAGTAATTGCCTTAGATGTTTCTCTTCATTGACCCGACCAAAAAACTTTGAGGGGCCTTGCATGGATGTTGTTGTACGCTGCTGAATGGGTTGGTCTGATCTCTTGTCCTCTAGCTCCACTAACTTCAGGAACATGGGCATCTCACTTTCAATCTCAACTAATCTATCCACTGCAGAAATTAACTTGTTGATATGCTCATCCGAGAAATGGAAGCGCTTGCGTACACAAACCGGCTGTTTTACAGCTGAGCCGCTGCTAGTGATGGTAGAAGCAGTGGTGGTGATGGTTGTGGATGTAGAGGAAGAACCAGCTGTGGGTGAAGCAACAGAACTAACCTTGCCCTTGTCTTCATCTTGTGCTTGAAGAACTAGACAGTGAAAGGAATCAAGAACATCCTCAGCCTCAAAAGCAGCATCTTTGATTCTCTGTAGCCAGCTTCCCATGGTTGTGTTCCTAGCTTGCACTCTCTCAACTATGCAACGTTATTTGGATTGATGATAGTTTCTTCTGCACGATTCTTAGTTTCTCCGTTGTATTTTGCTGTTGCCCCTGATCTCCAGCATAGGAGCACACCTTATCAACTAGCCTGCTGATGAAGGGTGAGGCTACCCATCCTGCTATTTCTAGAGCAACCATTATAGCTAAGATGATGTAACTCAAAGGAGTTGTCAAATGCTGGTTTCAAGTAGCCACATACAGGAAAAGAATGTTGATTTGAAGAGAGTTGGTATGTGGATGCAGCCAAGAGAGAATCATGAGTATAAAACTAATGTTGTCCTTAGAAACTGCCCCGAGTTGCATCGTCTTGTTTGTTTACGCCCATATTCTAGTGAATTTAGAGTACGTCGCTTTCAACTTTGTTTTTGCCATTTTCCTTTGTCAGTGTGTGTACCATAATTTACCTGAAGGTGCTTCTAAGTAACAGACAAATATTATCATGATGTAATGTTTTTTTGTTTGTTGGACAACACTAAGACTGAAACTGGAACCTTTCGCACTTACCTTCAGTAAGAATCGTGAGTCTCATTTCAGCACCTTGAAGCAGGCAACAGTATATAGCTTCTGTTTTGGTAGTAATATTCTTCCTGGTTCAGTCCCTTGTTAGTTAGTAAAACTTGATCCCTTTGGGTGTCCGTGCTATATCATGATTTGTAGTCCTCTAGATTGTACATTCTTAAACAATGCATTAGTACCATTGTTCTTGTTCCCATATGACTCAGCTATTTGTAATTTATGCGGCATCTGGCCCGTGCACATAGTTAAGTTATTAATTCTTGAAGGGCTTAAACTTCTACACCACTTCATTTTTTCATGTATTAGATCTGAGAAGCAACAAAATTTGGACAGAGTGCTCCAATTGGGCTCAAGTTGTGGCCCAATACGGATAGTTTATCTTAATCTCAGTTCAGAAAATTGCATGGAACTTACCCGGGGCTGGAAAAAATAATGAGCAGGACCAATAATGTCCAAGGCTAGCTTTACTATCATATAGTTCACTGCTTAGGTTATTATTAGCACAAGCAGAAGCCAAATAGTGGCGGGCTTGTTTCTTGTTGTTGTAGCTGTCATTTCCTCTCCTTGTCCATTCCTATACATTGCCTGGAGCTTGTGCTCCATCGGAAACACCCCATCCACGTCAGCTTAGCATTGCAAAAGGCTATAATACTTCACGTTTTCTTGTAATCAGCACGCCTTGGTACTAACCAATTTTTTTAAGCGTTATTGTAATGTGCTTTCAGATAACTGACAAAAATAACCACATTGTAGGTTCTGTGAGCCTTTGTCTGGAGAGCAACAGAAATACATGGCCGGTCGATGAATTTCAGGTTCCATTTTGGCAGTTATGTGGTATGCACAGTTTCCCCCTTTCCCCTGGCGCTCAACCCTGGGAAGACAAATACATGGGAAATATTTATTGTTCTTTTCTTGTAGTCATGCTGCTTTAACTGAATAATCTATACTCTATGGACTGTTGGCTATTGCAGTTATCGATACTCATTTTTGTTTGCCCTCACAGTATCAGGCCTCGTGGCTCGGATTTCCTAGCGCTCACCTCAAGTTTTTTTTAGAATCAGCGCTCACCTTAAGCAAGGGCAAAGGAATCCTCGCATGAAGATCAGGGCAGTTGGGTTTGCCCAATAAGCGAGAATATTTCCTTCTCTTTCTTGTTTCCTTTCCTCTTTTCTTTCTTTTCTTTTCTTTTCCTTTCCTTTTTCTATATTATTCCACTTTTTATTTTGATTTTTTCTTATTTTTGGCCATTTCCCAATTTATTTTATTTTAAATTTTATACTGCCTTATATTTAGAGTTTATTTTTATTATAAACAATGAACATTTTTTTATTCACAAACATTTATTATCATACATGTGGACATGTTGTGCAGTGATACATAAATAACCCCTTTTGAGATTTGTGAACCTTTTTTCTATAGTCATGAGCAATTCTTTTGGAATACATGAATATTTTCAAATGGGAATAAAAATGGTACATATGATACAAAAAGCTTTTGTGTGATTTTATGGCATAGGAGTATTTTTCATTAGTAGCGTGGAGATCAACTGTATGAACAAAATTTGATATCAGACGGAATGTTTTTTCCTTGAGTCAGCCTTGATTTGATTTTTTCGTAATGGGCCTAAATTCTTTTGGGCTTGTTGTCTAATCCGTACACTCGGTGATATGAAGCCTCTTCCTGCAAAAAGGAAAAAGGGAAATTTGTATGAGGCTCACATATGGACATCTGTAGTCGATATGAACCCCTCAAAAAAATCTGTAGTTGTTATGAGGCCTCTTCCCGTAAGAAAAAAGGAAAAGGGAAAATTGATATGAGGCCTCTCAGTTATTTTTTCAAAGGAAATGGCAGATAGGCTGAGGGGACCTTATCTTACAACAATGTACATATGGATGAGTTCTAAAAAAAACATATGGACGAAGGACTAAACAAAGGTGGTACAGTAAGAAAGCACCGAATGGCTGTGCTGGAGACGAAAACATAGTTGTATAATTGTTCTGTGTAGGGGTGTGTTTGCAGGATGGCTGGAGTCACTGTTGTTTTAGTACTGATTCTTACCGATGATTTTCCGTCTCACGAACCACAGGTTACAAATAATGTGGACTGTGTTTGACATTTTAAGCTGTTTCGACGATGATTGCGTGCCGAACCACCGGTTACAAATGGTTTGTGCTATTGTTTGTCATTTTAGTCTGTCCTGACGGTTGTGTTGTTGATAACGGTGTTAATTGCACATTGATCGGCCGTTCTCCAATTTTCATTTTCTGTGCTATACTGGTCGATTTGTTGCAACTTTTCTTTTCTCAAATATATTGTTTTGATCTTTCTGTGTCACGGTGGCGGTGAAGAACCTGTGGACTATAGCAGTCGATTCTAACTTGGGAGCACTTGTCTAGAGCTGGCTAAATTCACAGCTTTGTAGTCTTGTAGACAAGTGCTTCTAAGATTTGCGTGTGTTCCTTATTTCGGGACTACTATTTGTTCCTATTTTTCATCTTTGATGCTGTCTCTTTGCTGGCAGTTTAATTACAGCCAACTGAACCTCACGTCTTGTTGTTTTCCCAACAGATGTCAGCTCCAGAGTTTTTTTCTTTTTTACGGAAAGTTGTATGCTGATGACAAGTCACAGAAGGAACTACGATCTCTTTTTTTTTTGCGAGAAGAAGGAACTGATCTTTTTTTTCGAGAAGAAGGAACTACGATCTAATGATTTAGGGCATCTCCAGCCGTTGGCCCCCCCAGGACGCATAAAAATCACCCCTTGGGGGCGAGCCGGCGATACAATCGACACTGGGGGCGGTTTTGCGCCCAGTCGTCGCCCCCAGCTTGTCCCCAGGCGCCGAAATTGGCCCACTTTGCAGCCCAATTTCGGCGAATAAAGGGCCCATATGGACGAGAATAGGCCCATATTTGGCGTGGTTTCGCCGTGTCTCGGCGTTCAATTATCAACACAATTATTTCTTATCACATATTTCAT